GTTCCCCCACCCCTCCATGACACGCACACAGCCACACGTGTGCAGGCCGCCCATCCAACCCCGACACACGCTAACGAGCCATCTTTAATTGCTTCTGATGACCTCTTGACAAATAAACATTTATTAGAAGCGCTAGAGACATCCGCCCTTGGTGCAACCGTGCCCTGAGCGCGACCAGTTCCCCATTTTTCCTTCTGTGCAGCTCATGTGCAATCTGTTTTATTAGAGTTACGTGCCTTGTCTAGTTCCACTTTTGGTCAATCCTTTTCCGAGAACGTCCGTCATCTGCTAGTGCAGCAGTCGAGTTCGAAGTGAAAGGCTTATCAGAAACATTCTTAGAGAAGTTTTCTTCAGTTACTAAACTAGAGTAGCTGGCCCAACCCGCGACCACTTGTCTCTGTACCCTCTGTTATTAATAAGATAATTGTTTTCATCATAATTTGATAAAGAAATGATTTTATTAACCTTTAAATGGTGTACTAACAACTTTCATGCACCTGTCATCTGTGCGCGCATGGTCGTGCCCTTTTCCGTATACGGTCACGCTGAGGGCATGCGGTCGCGCCAAGGCCAAGGGCAGAGCATTAACATGTTAAAATGTGAAATCTGCGAATGAAGTTTAGGAATGATTGACGATATCACAGTATAAACCGGAAGTTGACACATTGAAGCGGCCCTGAACATGGATTGCCTGACCTATTTTGCTGACAGAGACCGCTGAGAAGCAAAATACGACAAGTGGTCGCGGGTTGGGCCAGGTACTCTATAGCTGATAGCTTTTCAGGCCGGTCTCAAATTCATCATATAAGATAAAAACTCGGCTCCTGCACAAAACGCCATTTCGCCCGAAGTGATCCCGGTCTCTACCCAGCCTGAGGCGAGTTGAGAGTGAGGCAGGACAGGAAGCCGGAAGTCGGAAGTGATGCCATGCCGGACAAAAATCAGAGCACGAATAACATTTTTTCATATTCGGACTCGAGTCCGAATAGATTAGTCACTTCGTTTATGAGACGGGAGGGTTTCTATAAAGAAAGTGGCTATTCTCATCCGCCCGAAAGTTCTCGCAAGATCAACTCCTCCCCTCTTCTCTCTCTCTCTGTCTCTTTCTGAATACTGTCTGTCGGTGTGGACGATCAAATTGACCAAAACAAAGTTAAAAAATGATGTTAAAACACAAACGTATATTAATTTGGTTGTCTACAAAGATGCTACGGCTATTTCACTTTTCGAATCGAGCCGAACTACGCGGGTCGCCATATTGTTTTGCCCGGAAATTCTCGCGCTACTCCTCTCTCTTTCTCCACTGCCCACAGACAAAATTGTACGCTTTTAGTAGGCTACAGTTGTAATGGAACGTTTGTTCAAGGCACAGAATTCTACAATTTTTCTGTTATCACAGTGTAGAATTCTGTGGTTTAGGGTGAACGCAAAATTTGGTGAACGCGCACCGGGTGAGAATAGCCACAAGACTCGCCTGCACTATTCTCACTCCGGGTGAGAATAGAGGTGGTCTTCTATAAATTTACCTTGAATTAAAAGCAAATTTCATCAGGCGGCAATGCACAGATAAGAATAGAATCTAATATCTAGATTCTAGGAGGCCTTATGACTTGGGATAGGCTACAACAACAACGTAGGGGCCTATTTTCATGCCCTGCCTATTGACGAAGGAAGAAATTTTAAATTAAAGTTCTTACCCAAAACTAGGACCGTTGGAATAAAACCGTAATAAAATACAAGTCTTGTTCCCGTCATTACAGTCGACATTCTCTGCTTGGTTGCTGGGGACAACTCAGCCATGATCAAAAGCTTGAGATGAGGTAGGCCTGTATACTATAGTATAGCGACGATCTGAGAGAACGAACGACCCTTTCCTGTCCGTTGGTTTGTGTTGTCCTGCTCTATGACTATGACGAAAAGAAAGAAAGTCGGCAACGTGAAAATGAAGAAGTCGAATTGAGAGTAATGTCCCTTGCTACGTAGCATGAAAATTTCGCCATAAAGCTATCAAGCTTTTTCTTTTTTACATTAGGCCTATTATACATATTATCATAATATCCCCCCTGTGTGTCTAATTTAGGCATTTGCGTGCATAGAGTTCGTAGTCCAAATAATAACAAATGAAATAGCCCTCCATTGACTATCAATAAGAAAACCCAACTACTTCTGCTGGAATGGGAAATTATGCACATCATGCATAGGTCTACATGACGACATCATTGTATCATGGTAGCTTACAATACTTACATACTTACATAATATTATGATGCGTACCTTCGATTGCCATTTCATATTGACCCGAAATATGGTTGTAAGAGTTTTTGACGTCGAATCTATGTCGTATGGTCCATGGTGATCTTTTACTCTTTACTGTTAAAATTAAATACTGCACATCCTTATAATAAAATAATAAAACGGCTTTTTGGGGGGTGCACTCTGCAGAATTCGCCAATTTATTCCATATTTTGACTCTGACATGATGTATCCATTTGATGCTGATAGATTAAATGGTTTGCAGCCGACCATAAATAAGCAATTCCTTGTCTGTGTTCATTTCATCGCGACGGAATTTTCGCTAAATTGCAGTATATGTAGGCCCTATTCTCATTTTCCATGAGAAAGACTTGAAATGAGGATCATGTGAAGTGAACATATTTTGTAGTGAGCGACTAGGCCTACAGACTGTCATAACAGCATGCACCAGAGTGCAGAATTTAGGCCATGAGACGTTACAATATTATGTAGATATCTACAGTTATACATTTTTGATGACTGCAGCTGGTTAAAATTGTAATGGGTCTGCATTGTGAAGCGGTAGCGTTCGCTTATACTTGATGCCGCTCGAATGGTTAAAAAAGACCCTTCCTTCTATAGAGAAGTGTTTTTCCTACAATTTCGAAAAAAAAAATTAGGCCCGCGTGAAAAGCCAAAATGTAGTTTATCTTATTCTTAGTTTCATTTTTGTCTTATTTTTGTTTTGGTATATGTAAGAGTTTTACGGCACTTAATGCAACTCCAACGCCATACAAGCGCCGAAGATTAGAGGTGTTACAAGAAAGTAACAAACATAAAAAGTGGGAGGACTAATAGAGATATGCGCGATCTTTGGTAGTCAAGAAGGGGCAAACCACACCAGAGCACCCGCCAACCACCCACTATGTTAGTTTTAAGATATCAAAATCCAACTCAAGTGGAAACAAACGTTATTCATTCTTTTTTTAAAAAAATTAAACAAAAAACAAACAAACGAAAACAAACGTACATTTTATTTTTAGGCCTCTGCATCAGAAACTAATTTTAAAAAAGAAAAGAAAGAAGAAAACCCTTTAAGTTCAAACGGAGCTTCATCCAAACGCCCCAGGTGTGTGTTTACTAGAAAAAAAGGGAGCTTAATGAGTAGGTCTATCTATAGCTTACCCAGAAAAGAATAACAAGTTATCCAAAAGTAACCCCCCCCCCCCTCCCACACACACACAAATATATTAGTTCAAACTAATCGTCCCGATCATCTTTAATGATTGCATGTGTTCTGCACCTGTCTTGCACCTAAACCTAATTAAGCTGGCATCATTTCTGCGTGTCATTTTGTGTTGCACTCTTGCTAGGCTACTCGTGAGTACTTTGGAAATGCTAATACGATCTTCCGATTCAGTTTCATCCAATAACCAGGACAATGGATTAATTATTCTTCAATTTATAATCTCCATCGACCAATGGTAATGGTGAGTAAACGTGAGCGCCAGCACGTTGCTATCTGTAATGAACTCCAGCAATTTCTGGAAACATAATCAAAAGGATGCTACCATCATATTCATTTTTAATCTCTTTTGATGGCCACTTCCTAACACGCGTTTTTCACTGTGCGAAGTCTACCATGCACGCATTCACTGCTCTTATTCTCACATTCACATAGTATCATAAATTATTATCTGCCATTCAGTCTTCCTCACACAATCCCCCCCCCCCCAATCAACGCACCTGCCCACCTCTTGCTCTCTCATCCTCCCCCGTGGTCACGTGTACTCACATGCCGGTACCGATTTACTCTCTCGCTTTTTCAGTCTCAGCACTGAATGTAAACTGGGGTTTGCGGTGCAAATGGTTAAGGCTCCTTATCATAATACTAATACCCAGAAGATGTTAGTTTGATTTCCAAGCCTTGATGTCTATTTTGAGCACAGTACAATGTAGTATCGTTTATCTTATTCTGTCTTCAGGGATGCTGCATATCTCACACAGCCGGGATCACGGTGGCGACATAGGGGCGTACGCATATATAGTATTTTTTTTTAAAGACACAAAAAGGAGAGATAAGGACGTCTGGTGTTTGAAAAGAAAGGAGGAGCAAACCACATCATAGCACCCGAAAACCACCCTTGGGGTTAAGTGCCCAGACGGCCTCACGTACAAGCTGGAGGTCGTGCTTCGATCCACCGAAGTGAAATGCCAGCCTCGCTCCATTGGCGAGAAAAACACTTTACACAACCCCCCCCCCCTCGTTCTTTCTTTAATTTTAGTTTTACTAAACGTTTTACGGCACTTGCAACACAATAAGGTCATATAAGTGCTGATACACAAAAAAGGAGGAGGAGAGATGAGGACGATAGATGTTTGATAGGAAAGAAGAACACACCACACCAGAGCATCTGCCAATCCCACACTGTAGATCGATATATTTCGCAGAAACTTCACTTGAATCGAATTTCACCACAATAATTAAAGCCCAACATTTTCAGCTGTTAATTACTTTTCCGTCTGTAACATGATGAGCTTGAGCGATAGTTTATGGCAAGTTAGTATGATCACCACCACATTACATCAAAATGAAGATAAGGATAAGGACGAACCTCTTAAAAAAACAAAAACAGAAAACATCAGAACACCCATTAGCAATCTGCATCTGACTGATATTCAAAAACAACATGCAAGAATGTATTATTCATTATGGATTACGCACCATAACGTATTAATAACTACAAAAAAAACAACAATTCAGCCAATTGGTATTATATGACTTAGTTTAATATTTCAAGATCAAAATCACAACAAGCAAGTAATAAATAGACATCCAAAACAGCATCTGTCGAGAAAATATTTAATTCATCTAGGCTAATCAAGCACATTACTCATTACTCAACATATTTACACAGGGCGTGACAACTTCATCAGTTGTTGAAAGTTTTCTCTGAAACAGCATGGCCCCTTCCACAATCCCAGAAAAACAACATTGGATTTGGAGGCAGTTATGGCTGACTTCGATGGTAATATAGCTGCCTCCTGAGGGGGCTGAATGCAAGCTGTTTCGGGGGACAATAAATTATCATCACAGCCCTTTCATAGTTCAAACACTTTGCACTTCACATTTACATCAGAGTGGATCAATTTAGAATTGGTGTTTTATCCTGGAAAAAAATCTGATACAGATTCAAATGGAAGACTTCTTTGAAGGAAAAGACAGAATGTCTTTCAAATTACAATATCAACAAAGTAATGCATTGCATTATTGAAAAAAAAGGGGTTAGAAAAGAAAGAAACTGAACTCTAGAATTACTAAAGAAAGTTGAACATGTTGATAAAAAGTTGGACAAATTTGGCCCTGAAGTTTTTTCCACAGTGTTGATGTACTAAGATTCAGAAAACAAGTGAAAGTGAATTTTTAAAAAAAGTTTGACAAAGGGAAAAGAAGGAGTTGCTAAAATACTTTTGCAGAAATTCGCAGTTTCTATGCATTTATGGGGGATTTTCAAATTTGAAAGAAATAGAACAGGTTGATCTAATAAAGATTAGAAAAAACCCAACCAGAATTAAAACTAAGTAACTATAACTTAAAACTTCAATTGAATAGGCATTTCAAAGAAAAGTTTAGAACCAGCTCAAATAAATGGACAGCAGATCTCTTTCCAATGATGACTGAAAGGCAAGAGCTTGTGAAAATACCATATCTTTTGTAATTACATTTCTTTAATTAATCCAAGAAACGTACATGATGGTTACGTGTACCAATACACTGATATAATCTCATAACAAAAAGTAGTCTTAATTTCTGGGCAGAAGTACTCGCAAAGTTTACAGTTTGCACAATAACAGCAACGTTTTGCAAGGACCAGATAAGGATAACATAAAGGTACTCAGAAAAAAAAGTGGAAGAAACAGAACACCACAGTGTCCACTGAAATTTCTGTGGTACAAAGTCACAGTAAAAACTGGAAGAAGAAACAAGGATTGCTAATTTTTAGAGGAGGGTAGGGAGGCGATCTGGCCCCTGTAACTCAGTGTGACCGATTTACACTGAATTCGCACTAGCCACGTGCTCATTCTTCTCTAAAGGGAGTGGATTACAGCAGGTCTCAAGTGTCATACACTCTGAAGTGCTCCACTAGACTGTAAATGGGTAATTAAAATGTAGTACAGTTCTCCCTGACACTGGATAGGAACACAGATGAAACAGGCATTTTATTAGTGAATAAGTGTGCAAACATTCATTGCCCCCTTGTTTTACATCCAAGCTCTTGTCTACACCTTCCCTAGTTTTCCTCGGGCACAATGTGTAGTTACTTATTCAAATAGAAATCTGGTCTGTCTTATGTTATTATAGTCTCTACTGGCACCTGCTTGTCCATCATTTTTTCCCTTTTGATCAATAGCATTTTCAGTTCCTTTTTATATAGCCACAAGTCCAAAGGTTGCTGGATATACAAAAAACACTTACATATCCCCCATATAGTGATAGCTGTTCATAATCCATCCTCTTTCTCTAGTGGAATATAGGGTGGGAAAAATTTTTGAGTCTTACTTAGGCTGATAATGAGCTGCTTGGAACAATAAAGGTAATTCAGCACTGAAAAACAGGAAGACAACAGATATAGATGAGAGAAGCCTGAAAAAGATAAAGAACTTACAAGTGGCATCCTTTAGCCGCCCACTGGGAAAAGCAGTAATACAATATTTAGGTAAACCACAAGACTAAAGAACGAACAGGCCAAAATAGCCCTTATAAATTACTTGGAATGTCTTGGTACCATTGTAAATGAATTTGATTTATCTACATCTCTTCCATGTTCAGGACAACTTTGAATCAAGTAACGTCAACAAGTTTTGGAACTTACTGTTCGATGCAATAATACAATTTTAAAAAGCCCCAAAACAGCAGAGCCACTGCTTTTCAGAAGATTTTGAAAACTGACGATTACTCATTAAAAAATGTTCAATATAGCAAGGCATAAACCAAAGCCAGAACAATGCAAGAGAAAAAGGAGGCACGTATTGTCTAAACTGAGTGTTGGCAAACTTTTTAGTATGTGCCAATGAGCCAGGTGCCTTGTGAAATGGAATGTTTTTCCACTTGATCTATAAACAATAGGATAAAACTTGATAAAGCATGGGGAAGGAGGTCTGTTCTATGGTGACATGTTTTGGCAAAATAAAAAAATGTGCAGATGTCTTGCCTCCACCTCAGAACCAGTTGACATTCTCTTTCGGTGTGATACACATATTTTAGTTTTTAAGAACATAAGAACTGTCTCTGTAATCAGTACCATATGCAATGATTATTTTTGTATCTTCTGAGAGACATTTCCCCATTCTCTTAAATCAATCACTTGACCAAGTTCAGATCTTTTCACTCAAGTCATATATATAAAGTGCTGGGTAATTATCAGCCTAACTTAAATTTTATATGAGTAGCAACACTCTGTACCACTAACATAGAGTAATAATCAACACGACTTTTGATAAAATGGTACAAGATTCTAAAGCAACTGAAAATGTCAGATTGAATGGAAGGCAAAGAACCCCATAGATTAAAAAAAAAACGTTATGAGGATTTAAGGTCTCTTGTTTTTTATAATGAAAAAAAAAAAAAGTTAAAGTCTTAAGTTGAATGTAAAAAAAAAAAGAGCATAAAACACAATACCAAAATTGCAGATTCTTAAATAATATTGTGCCATAAATATTTGTGCTACTTGGCACATAATTAAAGTGTTCACCAAAGAAAGAACTGAAGTACTCACTTCAGCGGTAATTATGGCACAGTATAAAAGTTCCGGATGTTGAACAATAAATATTTCCATAAATAAGAATCTTGTACAGAACACCAAGCTGAATCAATGGTATTGTCTCCTTGAATGGTTTGATATATTTTGTGCAAAATTAAGATAGCCTGAGACAAAAAAAATTACTAAAGCTTGTTCACTTTTGTCTGTCTGCATAAAAAATTCTAGCTCATTCATTAATTTGCCAATGCACAAGTATCAGGTGATCCAAAAAATCCTTTACCCACAGAGTTATAGGCTTTCCCATCCCACGCGAAAAGTGTTTTTTTTTTGGTCAACAGGTATACATAAATGTATATGATTGCTACAATAAATAATTTACAATAATCTAGCCAACAAATTGCCCATTCTGAGACACACCACCACCTTGGCCCCACATTAGTGTTTAATCTTAGTCAACCCCCCCTCCCCCTCCCCAGGCAATCTAAACATCTAATCATCCCCATGTGCATGTACATCTCAACAAATACTTTAGTTCTCAACAGTAGGTATGCGTTAATGTATGTGGACAAAATAGGTCAACTTTTTAAATGTTTTGAGTGTATGCTGTAAATGACCTATTATTTTTTTTAACCCACTTAAGGTTTAACATCAAAGAAATCTTGTGTGAACCTTATTTTGCAGTGCCTTTCAATAATGAGTTTTTAGATTCATCTAACTTTTAAACCCCCATGCAAAGAGACCTGAGACGATTAAACAGTGTTATTTACTTTTAACCTTGTTTTAGTGCAGACAGACAAAAGTGAACAATCTTTTATACCCCCCCCCCCAATTCCCCAGTTCTAAGTGAACCCCATTGCAGGAAAAAACATGAATAATGTTAATATGAATAAAAATAAATTCTGAAAACCTGTCTGCAGGTACTCTGTGTTTCAGAAGCCTAGTCATAGACGTTTTGAGCTATTTGTCATTCTCAATTTTTGTTTTTAAAAGCAGCCTGCACAATAACGTTCTATACAATTTTCACAAATATATGGAGTAAACTTGGGTGGACTACCATGGCCACTCTAGCTCAAGTTGCAACCACTTTTACATGCATTGCTTTTTGTTCATGATGAAAATAGTAAAAGAAAACGAAAAGCAATCACATTACTATTGTCTTTGGTGAACAGATACAATCCCTGAGTTTTAAATACGTATATATTATATATATGTCATCTTCCAAATATATTATACCTTTTGAAAAAGTACACAACACACAACATTAGGTCTACCTTACTTTCAATGGCTTCAGCTATTTCTCAGCTTCAAGATATCATACATGAACAACAAGAACAGATACAAAATGCATTTTTTCTTCATTAGTTCAACACAAAGAGGCTTTCATTCTCAAATACATCATCATAAATTAGTTTGCATGGTATTATTGCACAAGCCTCTTTTATTCCTTCACTCTCATTCACATTCAAACAAAGGAAGCAGAATTTCATCCAAAAGATGGAAGAGGCGATAGAGGTACTCCCAGCGGGGACAGAGGACTGCGAGGGACAGAAGGTGCTGGCTGAGAACGCTCCGAGTTGAGGAAAGTACTGGAACTTGTCATCATGGGAGCTGTCATAGTGGGCCGGCACTGTCGAGGCGATGCCATATCTAACGGCAGGGCTAGGGCTTGGCACGTGATGTCTCCTCCAAAAAATGACAAAGTTTGATTGTCCGAGGGTGTTCTTGGAATATTACCATAGCTGGCAGAAAACACTTCAAATGTTTCCTCTGCTTGCTGAATAATGTCCAGTAATGGTGACGATGGGAAAGTGGCTTGAACAGGGGAAATGATAAATGGCGGGGTCACGAGGAAATCCGCGTTGCTACAACGACGCCGAGAGTCCACAGTCGTGCAAACTTGCAGCAGAGGAAGAGAGCCAGGGCGGACTGGAGTTCTGGCCGGGCTTGGTGAGGCAGCAGTCTGGGAGAGGCTGGAGGGAGACAATTCCAGTTTGACAGTGCTCAGAGGGTGGCTTTTGCTTAAGGTTGCTGATGTATGATCAACTGACGATGAAGACGTAGATGGTGGTGGCTGTGGTTGAAAAAAACTCATCGATGTATCCATGCCGTCATCTTGTTGGAAGGATGGTGGACAATTGTTTGGTAAATGCTGCTGCTCCAAAGTTGGAGAAAAAGTGAACACACATGGCAACTGTGAATTAGGTGCAGGAGGCGCAGATCTGCACAAGGTAGTCGTTGTTAAAGGAACCTGAAGCTGGCCTTTTAGTTGAGTTTCAAATTTCTGCAGCTGCTGGATAAAATTGAGATTGGGGTCTACAATAGGTCTCTTCAGTCTGATCTGTTCAAAAGCCACATCCAACGACAGTCCTTGTTTTTGCATGATGTAGGCAATACACACTGTTGCTGACCGACTGACCCCTGCTCGACAGTGCACCAGGACTTTACCTCGTTCTTCTGCCACACTATCTGTGAACAGAAAAAAAAGAAAAGCCATTATTACTCAGTATGAAAAATATTTAAAACATACAAAACAATATAAAACCTGAAAAGACAAGGTGTAAGTCATAATAATCTGGTTAACGAGAGGAAAATTAGTGTAAAGTGCCTTTCCCATGAACATAATGTCGGGATTCAGGCTTGAACATGCAACGTCACTGTTCAGAGTCCCGTAGCCTAATCACTAGACTACCGATGCCGCTAAAGAAAAACAATATACACGAGTACTTTGAGAAAAACAGAAAGCACAATTTTCCTTTCTAGCTTTACTAATGGTCAAGACATCAAAATCCCAAAATCCACTAATGGTGGTCACGCTGTCTAAAACAATATAATATTGCTCTGAAACAAAAAAAAAGAGATCTGACATACAAATATCCCATGCACCATATAGGCCATCAAAACGAAAAATTTAATTTGTATATAAACAGTGATGTCCACTTAAACCAAACACTGTTTTAATCTGACAACGGTGGTAAACTAAAAGAAAATAAAAACCCCATTTTTTCACCTTTTATCCTTCTATTTGAGCAACCTCTCTAAACTAAAGACACGTCTAAGTCTAAAGAGAAAAAAATGCGGTGGAACCGCACATTTCACTTTAAGCGAACCCCACTGTATATAATAAGGAATTAATTTAGATTTTGCCCGGGTGGCGGCCGAATCCTACTCTTACTGCTTTTGGACCACTAAGGGTCTTGCACATGGGACCTCCAAGATTTTTCGCCCTTATCCGAAAAGGCTAGGTGTTATATCTTGCCTACCTTAAGATCAGGGGTGTGGCTGAAATACAGCAGTAAGAAAGAGCAAATGAGTAGCAGTAGAAAGGCTGCAGAAAGAGCCAGGAGCCCTGAGGAGGGGGGCAAAGGAGGTGAGGGGCAAAGACCGTAATCTCTAGATCATGAGAACCCCCTTTATTCACCTATTTAGTTTTAGTTTTAGTAGAGGTTTTACGGCACTCGCAACTGCATAAGGTCATATGAGCGCCAGAAGATTAGAAGTGTTACAAGAGAGTGACAAACATAAAAAAAGAAGAAGGAGAGATGAGGACTATACATGTTTGATAGGAAAGAAGAAGCAAAACCACACCAGAGCACCCGCCAACCACCCTCTTTACTCACCTATGAACTGTATGAGCCGCGGGAACCAAGAGAGCAGATCGGCGTGTAAGTTATCGTTGATGGGCACGTTCATGTAGCGGTACTGTGTCTCGAAGTGGTTCTCGCAGCTGGTGGACACGTTGAGCAGGGCGGTGATGCCCAGGCGCTGTAGAACCTCGTGCTGGCCCGAGTGGGACACGTCACCCAGGTACAGGTGCGGCAGGATTTCTGATGGCTCCTCCTATGGGGGGGGGGGGGGGGGGGGGAGATACCAAACAAGACAGTGAGTTTTTTGTGAGTTTCTTTTTTCTCGTAAGAGTACTTGCAACACAATAAGGGCATATAGGTGCCGAAGAAAAGACGTAAGTGTTAGTTTAGTTTTAGTTGAGGTTTTACGGCACTCGCAACTGCATAAGGTCATATGAGCGCCAGACAATTAGAGGTGTTACAAGAGAGTACATGTAACAAACATAAAAAAGAAGAAGCGGAGATAATGACGATAAATGTTGGATAGGAAAGAAGAAGCAAACCACACCAGAGCACCCGCCAATCACCCACAAGAATAGATGTGTTACAAGAGAGTAACATACACAACAAAAGAAGGAGGAGAGATAACGACGATAGGTGTTTGACAGGAAAGAAGTCCTGAGCAGACCACACCAGAGCACCCACCAACCATCCGCACAGTGAGTTTGATTGTTTGTTTGAGTAAAGAGAGGCACATCGGAACAATAATGGTAATGGTCATTAAGTGATATGGAAAAGCAAGATGGACAGACAGACGGAAATAACAGAGGGAAAGTTTGAATTTATCATTTTCCCCCTTCTGTAAAGAAAATTAAAAGCACAATAACCGACCTTTAGTACAGACACACAGACTGAGATACATATATATATATATATAGACAGAAAGACAGACAGAGAGAGATAGACAGACAGAACCAACAGGACGAAAGAGAAGGAGTGAAGAAATAGGTCCTACCACCATACAGTAGTACCCACCAACCACCCGTTGGGGACACATGGAAGACAACGACATTTACTCATTGAAAACTTGCTAGTATGTACATGTATTACTACTATGGTGACAATGCTGTCACAGTTGCCGATATGTATAATAATATGTAAAAAAGAAGCACCTACAGCGTTGGGGAAAATAGGAAGTTAAAAAACAGAAACAACACGAGTGTGTGTGTGTGTGTGTGTGTGTGTGTGTGTGTGTGTGTGTGTGTGTGTGTGTGTGTGTGTGTGTGAACAGAAACAACACGAGTGTGTGTATATGTGTGTGTATGTGTGTGTGTGTGTGTGTGTGTGTGTGTGTGCGCGTGTGAACAGAAACAACATGAGTGTGTGTATGTGTGTATGTGTGTGTGTGTGTGTGTGTGTGCGCGCACAGAAACAACATGAGTGTGTGTGTGTGTGTGTGTGTGTGTGTGTGTGTGTGTGTGTGTGTGTGCGTGTGTGTGTGTGTGTGTGTGTGTGTGTGTGTGTGTGTAGGAGGGGTGGACCTAAACGTTACACTCCCCAACCACCCTCACGACCACCGCACTCCAGGAGCAGATCAAGACAACGGTGTGGTACAATGCATTATATCGAAATGAGGCAAAAGAAGCAGACCACAGTGTAAAAGGGCATGCATCCACAATCCCCTAAATATTACTACAGTTTGGAAAGGAATGAAATCTAAGGGCTAACGAAAGAAACTTAAATTAATAGATGCAGTGTTTTGAAAGCATCAACAGAATATTTCTTAACCTCCCCCTCCCCCTTTTTTTTCTTCTTTTCACCAAAAAAAAAATCACTCACACACGCGTTTAAATTTAGGCCCTGCCATGGCTAAATGACGGAGGCAAAAGACGTCAAACTATCTCGAGGAGACAACACACTGATGATTTCGAGGTATGGATCCTCCAGAGCCGGAGACGAGCAGCAGTTTCGATTATTTCCTACGTGCAACTACAGAACTGAGATTTACCAACGGCACCTGAAAGGTTATAAAAAGTAAGAATACACGAATCCGAAATAATTGCTTCCGGTGCTATTAAATGTTCCATTTTCGAGCAACGAAGCACTCAGGAAGTTTGTTGACTTTTGAGAGAGAGAAAGCGAAGGGGAAGGGAAAGGGGAGTGGAAGGGTGAGGAGGGGGGGGGGAGAAAGACAGAGAGAGAGAGAGAGAGAGAGAGAGAGAGAGAGACAGAGAGAGAGGGTGGAGGGGGAGTGGGAGAGAGAGGAGAGAGAGGGAGAGAGGAGAGAGAGACAGAGAGAGAAAGGGGGGGGGGCACATAGAGAAAAGAGAAAGGTTTCTATGAATCAAACTCCTCACAATCACAATGATACAGAATAAACACGGGTAGTGTGACAACCAAAAACGCAGGCTACATCGATCATTGGTACAACTGCTGAGTAATAGAAGAGGAAAAAAACCCAACCCATCAGACAAGAAAATTAGTTTAGTATCGGAGTAATCTTTCAGTCAGCTTTCCTCTCACTTCTAGCTGCTATTGAGATGTATTTTATGGCGAGTCAGCATAAGAGCGACCCCGTTTCTCCAGGAACAGAGGTGAAAGTAGCGCTGAAAAGAAGAAGACGGAATACATCACCATCAACATTCGCCTTTTGAAAGCAATATTAAAAAAAAAAAGAACATTCAGGAAAGGGAGAGGCAGACGGGCGAGGAGATCCAAAATCTGAGAAGGAAGGGAGAGAACAGGCAGAAGCAATGTTCATGTACATGTATTCAAGTTTTCAGCTGATGATAATAGATGATTGTTGAGGTGTTTTACGGCACTATCTACAGTTTAAGTTTTCAGCTGACCAGTCGGGACTTCGTTGAAGAAAAAAGATTCTTAAGTCAAAGTAAACACACCAATGCACAGAGTGACTATAGTCGGACCGATAATACATCACACAGAACCGGCACTCGCGATAAGAACCATCCCACAATCCCACCACTTTGTGACTTCGCTTCGCATGCCAATCCCACCTCCCGGCCCGACCCGTTAGGATTGGCGAGCTGACCGCAAAGTAATCATCAAAAATCATAGCAATAAACCACGCCTTGTCATTTCCCTCCCTCGCGGTGTTCAAAGTGCTAAACCGGCTCTCCGGTACGTATCGTAAAATCGTGGTGGTGGAGTGATCTTCTCTCATCCTTTCCCCATTCACCAAGTCGCAACTTCCGTTTGTGCCTCTACTTTTCCCTTGGTCCCCCTCTCACTCTTTCCAGATCACAAGGATTGGCGCATCATCATCATATCTCCCCCCCCC